AAAACTCGGTCTTATACTCGAGTATATACAGTAATAAAAGTAGAAAAGCAGAATTAGCAGGACTGGAAATCAAAATTTAAAAAAGTTAATGTGACAAAACATAACAGTAAAAACAAGCACAGATATTTAAAGAAATACATTAAAGGAATACCATAAACACTATTTATTTATTTCAGGTACTTACATAGCGCCATCAATTTACGCAGCACTTTACGTATATATTGTCATTCACCTCCCCTAACCCTCAAGGGGTGTACAATCTAAGGTCCCTAACTCACATTCATACAGTTGTGTCCAAATTATTCAACCCCCACTGAAATTGAGTGTTTTGGCCAGTTTGACATTGCTTTTGATCATTCAGTCATCTTGCTCATTTACATTAAAGAGGCACTTGTAGGTCAGACAAATATAACATAACAGTTATAATGAAATCCACAAATGTCTTTTCTGTGCTCCAGCATTATCAGTTTTATTCAACCCCCAAGTGACATTCAATCTTAGTACTTAGTACAGCATCCTTTTACAGTTATAACAGCTTTTAAAAACGTGAAGCATAGCTTGACACAAGTGTCTTGCAGCGATCTACGGGTATCTTCGCCCATTCTTCATGGGCAAAGGCCTCCAGTTCAGTCACATTCTTAGGCTTGCGCACTGCAACTGCTTTCTTTAAGTCCCACCAGAGGTTCTCAATCGGATTTAAGTCTGGTGACTGCGATGGCCACTCCAAAATGTTCCAGCCTCCTCTGCAACCATGCTCTAGTGGACTTGGACTTGGGATCATTGTCCTGTTGAAAGGGTCTCCCAAGCCTCAGGTGTGTGACGGACGGCATCACGTTTCCATCCAATATCTCCTGGTACGGAAGAGAATTCATGGTACCTTGCACACGCTGAAGCTTCCCTGTACCTGCAGAAGCCAGCCCCAAAGCATGATTGACCCTCCACCATGCTTCACAGTAGGCAAGGTGTTCTTTTCATCATAGGCCTTGTTCTTCCTCCCCAAACATAGCGTTGATCCATGGGCCCAAACAGTTCTAATTTTGTTTCATCAGTCCACAGAACACTATCCCACAACTTTTGTGGTTTGTCCACATGGCTTTTGGCATACTGCAGTCGACTCTTCTTATTCTTTGGAGACAGCAAGGGGTACGCCTGGGAGTTCTGGCACGGAGGCCTTCATTACGCAGTGTGCGTCTTATTGTCTGGGCTGAAACTTCTGTACCCACATCTGACAAATCTTTTCTCAGTTCCTCAGCAGTAACGGGGATTCTCTCCACTCTACGCTTCAGGTAGCGCACAAGCAGTCGAAGTCAGCAATCTTCTTTCTGCCACGACCAGGTAGCGTTTCAACATGCCCTTTGCCTTGAATTTGCGAATGATGCTTAAGGTGTCTCTTGATGTTTAAAATCTTTGCATCTTCTTATAGCCATTGCCCTAAAAGAAATCACCTCTTCTCTTGTCTTCCTGACCATTCTCTTGCCTTCACCATGTTTGTAACCACACCAGTAAATGTCTAGAAGGAGCTGAGTATCACAGTCATTTTAAAGCTGCCTAATTGGTGCTTATTATGCTTGATTGCTGCTCGGTGACATCCACAGGTGTTTTCAATACCTGATGGAAAGCACCTGTATGAACCTCTGTTCTTCAGAGTGGTAGTCTTTAAGGGGTTGAATAATTGTGGCAATGAAGAAACCACATAAGAACCATTTACTACTGTATTGTAAACATTGATGTCATTTTAGTTGCATTTGGGTAGTTACAACGTCCTTGGGATTTGATTCTGAATACAATTCCAAATGTACACTATAGTCCCTAAACCCCTTTACAGCATTGGGGGTTGAATAATTTTGGACACAACTGTACATACACATACTAGGGCCAATTTAGACAGGATCCAATTCACCTACCAGCATGTCTTTGGAGTGTGGGAGGAAACCAGAGTACCCAGAAGAAACCCATGCAGGCACAGGGAGAACATGCAAACTCCAGGCAGGTGGTGCTGTGGTTGGGATCAAAGCTTTAAGGTTCCACTCACACTACGACAGCATGCGGTCAGGAGGTGCACTTATGCAAATTTTTTGGCTCATTGTGCGACGCGCATAGGGCAGTCTATTTCTTTGAATGGGCTAACCTACATGCGACAAATACAGCAATTTAGCTCATGAATCTTTTTGGTTTTGAGCTTTGCACATCTGCTTACTGCATTTAGGGTACCATTGTTGTAAACCGCAGACATGAAGTATGAGCAAAGCATATCCCTCTATTCATATAAAGAGAGAGACTTCCAAAGGCTACATCCGCTAATGTAGAAAGAAGATAAAGGTATTTGCTGGATATGTTCTAGCCAACCTAAATGTGGCGGACTTTATTGGCACAGAATGAAAAGACTTCTAAGTATGTATTATAAAATCATATTAACAATGAATCATTTAATTTTTTTTTTTAACATAAAACACAGTAAGCCTCCCTGTATAGGAAGGAAGCACCAACAGTGTATAAAATCAAATGACACTAGATTTACAGCACTGCTATGCCCTATGGCACCAACTCAAATGGTATATGTCCACTGTTGATCAAACGTGTTTATCTAGTTAACGAGTTAACTAGTTAGCAGCTCAGGCAAAGTGTGGATTTTATAAAAAAATGTGAACGTTTGAAAATGAATCCAAATAATTACTGGATTTCCACACTCAATGGTTCTTTACAGATCAGAAGCCTGAATGGAAATATTTGGTCCTGGACCTCTCTGCAGAATACACAGCTCTGCAGTTGGGGCCAGTTCACACCCCAAAAATGCACTCTGGATGCATTCTGGATGCATTTTTGTTTACAGTTCACACCACACTCCATTCCGGTGCGTTTTTGATGCACTTTTGTGTTCCAGTAGAGTTCTGTACAGAACTGACTTTCTGCACCAGAAAATGATTGGAACTGACTGCAGTGGTGTGAACTAATGCCATTGGAATACATGGAAAACACTGTACATGCATTCTTGATGCAGAAAAAAAAACCGCACTGGATTACATCTGGCATTTTTGCGTAGTTACATTGGTTCAGTTTGGACCAATTTACAGTAAGGCTGCTTTCACACTGCTCTGTTTTCTTCCGCTTTTACGGTATAAAAAGAAGAAAAAATGTGTGATTATGTAATCTTATGGAACTCTTCACACTGATCCATTGCGGGTCTGCTGCGTTTTTTAAAAACCTGCTTGCTGCATTTTTGGTACGGTAAAAAAAAATACGCACGAAAAGCATACCTCCCCTTTAAAATAAATGGAAGTGCATAAAAAACGCACCCGCGTTGTGTTTTGGTGCTTTTTTTTTGTCACATTTCCTATTAAAAACGCACCACAAACGTGGTAAAAACATACCAGGTATGGCCAGGTGTGACACATACATACTTAGGCTACTTTCAGACTGATCCACTGCAAAAATGCATATGCATTTTTAATATATAAAAAGAGGGGGTGCAGCGCTAGTAAAATACACAATATCAAATAATCACAGATATAGATATAAAGTGACAAGGTGCAAATACATAAGCCACTGGATGGTGGCCAAAGGTGCTAGAAGGTGTTGACTCAGTTAAAAGTCCACAAAGAAAAAGTGTTGATAAGATCTCAAATGATCTCAGGATATCCAGTGATAAGGACCTTGGATCAGGTGATAAATGATAATGAGATTGCGCACTCACCAGATACGCAAATCAAATGCGTGAGCAGTCATTTGACCTCTACAGTGCACACTCCCAGTGTCTTATGTATTTGCTTATGTATTTGCACCTTGTCACTTTATATCCATATCTGTGATTATTTGATATTGTGTATTTTACTAGTGCTGCACCCCCTCTTTTATATGTGTCTTGGAAGGTTTATTGGTACCTTTTTGGTGTACAGCTGCTAACGAATTTGGCATTATTTTAGCTCTCGCTTATTCTTTCTGCATTCACATATGCATTTTCACTGTGAGCCTGGGTTCACATATATGTGGTGCGGTATATCGCATGGGATTTGCACAGGAACCACACCACATTCCTGTGCAAATCACATGCGGTTTGTGGCAGTGCAACTGGAGCCATACATTTTGTATGGCTCTAATCGCACCGCACCAGCACCAAAAATGTGCAGGACCCTTTTTTTGGTCTGTACCAGAATCAGATCACATGGGTATTCACACCTATGCAATCCAGTTCTGCACATCACACCGCATCTTGCGGACCACTTTTGGGGTGTTGTTAACTTAACATACACACCCACAGTGGTTTGCATGAACGGGGTGCAATTCTGATGCGGTGTGGAATTTGCACAGAAAACGCTGAGAATTCCGCACCTCATCAGTGTGAATCAGGGCTGAAAGTAGCCTAAGTATGTATGCATTGTACCTGGCTAATCCCTCTGGAACCTGGAAATTGCCATAGCAGGCAGGACTACTACAGTGATTTTCTTGGTCCTGTGATGAGCAGCCCGTCCCCCGTTTAGTGAGCACACAATACCGCTCACTTGGCATGGGCCAATTTTGAGGACATTTTGCATTTTCTCAAAGTATACAAACAAGTGTTCTCTGATTGGATGCAAGGTGGAGATCATGACATCAGTGCCCCACCTCTTGACTTCAAATCAGAGAATGGTTTGAATTAATTGAGAAAATGCAAAGTGTTCTCTGAACCTCTGACCTCCTGTGTTCACTAAGCAGGCTAGCAGTGATCACTGGAGTAGCAGCACCTACTAAAGCGATTTTCAGCTTCCATGGGGATCAGCCAAGTATGGCTCATACATACATTTGTTCAAGCCGGTGCCAAAGTAACTATGCAAAAATATCCATATCTAAACTTTGGCTTTAAGCAACACAGGCTGGTCAAGGACCTGCTCCAGGCTATGAATGGACTAAGAAGCTTCAGCAACGCACTGATTAGGTCCTTATAAGCCACAGGTGTCAAATGAGGCCCTCCAGCTGTTGAGAAACTACAAGTCCCATCATGCCTCTGCCTTTGGGAGTCATGCTTGTAACTGTCAGTCTTGTAATGCCTCGTGGGATTTGTAGTTCTGCAACAGCTGGAGGGCCACAGTTTGACATCCCTATAAGCCACGGGTGTAACACTGGTGGCCCTCCAGCTGTTGAGAAACTACAAGTCCCATCATGCCTCTGCCTTTGGGAGTCATGCTTGTAACTGTCAGTCTTGCAATGCCTCATGGGATTTGTAGTTCTGCAACAGCTGGAGGGCCACAGTTTGACATCCCTATAAGCCACGGGTGTAACACTGGTGGCCCTCCAGCTGTTGAGAAACTACAAGTCCCATCATGCCTCTGCCTTTGGGAGTCATGCTTGTAACTGTCAGTCTTGCAATGCCTCATGGGATTTGTAGTTCTGCAACAGCTGGAGGGCCACAGTTTGACATCCCTATAAGCCACGGGTGTAACACTGGTGGCCCTCCAGCTGTTGCCAAACTACAAGTCCCATGAAGCAATGCAAGATTGACAGTTACAAGCATAACTCCCAAACTGAGAATCATGATGGGACTTGTAGTTTTGCAACAGCTGGAGGGTCACAGTTTGACATCCCTATAAGCCACGGGTGTAACACTGGTGGCCCTCCAGATGTTGCCCAACTACAAGTCCCATGAGGCATTGCAAGATTGACAGTTACAAGCGTGACTCCCAAAGTTAGAGGCATGATGGGACTTGTAGTTTTGCAACAGCTGGAGGGCCACATTTTGACACCCCTGCAATAAGTATTAGAAAATTGATTGGCTCATAGTACTGAAGTACTGACTCCCATAATTCTATTTTGCTGTGCATAGGATTACAGGAGGCTAAGATGATTAGAAAGATTAGGTAAGTCATGCTAATTCTATGTAATTACAGTTGATGATTTTTCTGATGAATACATAACAATATTAAATGCCATTTTTAAAGATCTGCCAGCATGAAAACCTTGTGGCATGGATGCTTACTAAATCACCACCTGTATACATGCTGTGTCATACACGCAAATAATAAAGAAACAGTCTAAACCTTGAGCAGAGTTGATTTAATATCACCAACCCTCTGCTTTGTGCACATTGAACAATACAAAACTTGCTTGCCATGGCAACAGTGACTATGTCTCTCACAGAGAACTCCGCAGACTGGAGCTAAAGCCAGACACCATCATGTAGAGCAGTCACAGGGACCAGAGGTAGGGGCAAAACTCACCAACATGGCCAGATCAATGGTCTGCATGTGGGCGGGGTTTAAGGCACCCTAGCAGGGACACTGCGGAACTGCACTCGCTAATGTCTAAACCTTAGGCAGGAGCCACGGTCCTCAGAAATCAGAATTAAAGTGTTACTAAACCCACAACAGTAAAACCAGTCTGTATATGCAATAAAGCATGCTAGTTATACTCACTGTGGAACCTAAGGGGTTAATCCTCCCCATTGTGTAAAAAGGCTGTTTTCTCTGATCCTCCCCTTCTTTTACTGTCCCCAATCCATCCGCTGATAGAACAGAGCTTTGAGGGCAAGCTGCACATGCTCAGTTTGGTGTGTATTGTAGAGGGGTTTTTTTTTTGGGGGGGGGGGGTGCACGTGATCAGCACAGGGACAATCAGCATTGTTCAGACATAGGCTCAGGGGTTATGCAGCTTCATAGGACAATCAGGGGAGACTGAAAACTCCTCCTACAAGCTTTAACCAGTGCTCTGCTGGACACTGATAGAAGTCACAAAATTTACTAAAATAATTGCATTTCCATGTTCTGTGTGCTGTGGGAGACCAGACAGTGAATGCAGGGTCCTGGGTTTATTAGCATGTTTATGCAGTACTCTAGACTTAGAAGCAAGCAGTAGACTTACACAATTAATGCCTTGTAACTGCTTACACTGTTGACACTAAAGCACTTTGGACACAACTTCTGTTACCCCTGGTACACATATATGCAGCAGTGCGGGCCGGGTTTTTCATTTGAATGGAATCCCGTGCCCCGTGACACACAGAGAAGAAGTCCCTGCACTTCTGAAAATGCAGCCCGCACAGGAACCTCGGTTCCCAGTATAATTGCGTTTTCAAGTGCGGGTGGCGGGTGGCGTGCCATTAGAATTAATGGCACCCGCCCGCGGGGTCTGCATTCCTCTGTGCGGGTGGTGCGTCTCCACAGATTTTCGTGCGGATCTGCAGTGACACCACCCACACATATGTGAACCAAGCCTTAGAGAACATCTCTAGCTAGTTGTGCAGCATTTCTGAGCCAGTACTGCAGAACATGTACGGGTCTCCATCAACTCAGCAATCTCGTCAACTCACTTCCAATCAAAATACCATGAATGTTGTATTTGGACACAGGAAATGTAACTTCATGCTTGTTCTCCTCCTGAGGCCTCACTGCCTTGTAACTCTCAAGCTGGGTTCCTAGGTCAAAATATATGGGGAGCTGGTCATTAGTGAAGGAGCCAAGCATAACAACCCTTTACCACCAGAGTAATTACTACCTTTGCCATGTCACCCGTCTCCTGGCTGGTTGGCTGCTCTAGCAAATGACCCAAATATGCTAGTCCTTAGTAATGGTAATATAGCCACCTCTGCGTAGCATTCTGCTCATTAGACCTTTGTACTACAGTATATCTTTTCTAACCTCTTTAGTCCCCTTGTTCTAAGCCCTGTTTTTTGATGCACTCTTTTAGAAATTTCAGACCAGACTATTTAGATGGACAAAAAAGATATTTTACTGAGATAGTTGCAGGTAACACACAAACAGTTCTCAAAGAAATCTTTCATACACTTATTATTATTATTATTATACAGGATTTATATAACTCCAACAGTTTGCTCAGCGCTTTACAATATAACGGGAGACAATACAGAAACAATATAGTTCAATGCAAGAGGGTTAGGAGGGCCCTGCTCCTTGGAGCTTACAGTCTAGGAGGGAGGGGACGCTTTCCTATACAAAGCTCTCTAGTGCTTCAAAGTAGTGCCCCATAAGGTAGTCATACCTTAGGCAGATGGCAAAGACCATTAGGAGTTCTTTCAAAGCAAAAGTCCATTTAGACAGTAAACCCATATAAGGTAGAAATAATCCCTTAGAGTCCATGATCTGGTGATAATCCACAAAAGACATTAAATCCATGACTGGCAGCTATAAATCCACATAGATCCTCAGGCTCCAAACCCCAATCCCAATAATGTCTACTGACTCAATGATCAGTGTACCAACTTGTTTCATGGAGCACTGATAAATAAAATGTAGCAATGTTGTTACTTTGTAACTAGCTGTTACAAGCACCTGATTACAATGTAATTGTTTTGTTACTTTAAAATCCCCTGTAACAATCTTGTTTAACAAAAATATACTTTATTGTGTAAAGAAATTAAATCTGCCTCTGATTGACATATTATTAACCATATATGGCCCTAAATAACATCTTAAAGTGTATTAAACCTCAAAGAAAACATTTATTATATGGCAGCTTCTTAGTTTGTTTTTCCCTTTATTTTCATCTGGTGATCCATTCAGTAAGTCTGCTGTTTTCAACAGAACAAGCTGTCCTGCAAATGTATCAATTAGTGTTGAGAAAAAAATATTTTACCACTGACAGGGGTGCTTACAATAATCATCTTTTATTTATTTACTGTATGCAAAAACATATATATCCCAAAAGAAAAAAGACTGTTGCTGTAACTGCAGTGTAATCTGCTAGTCCATCTAACACTCCTCTTCCCCAGACTGGCAATGCTGATGTCCAAAGGTGTTCTTGTGTCCATTCATCCAGAATGGGGGTGCTCTAATACAGGAGGTGTGTTAATGGCCAGATCATTAGGTAAAATCAGAGGGAAAAAAGGCAAAAAAATAGAAAACTAATGCAGCCACTATGTCTAAGGATTGGTAAACTGTAATATATTACAGTTTTGGTTTTGGGTTTAATATTGCTTTAAACTTTTCCAGCTTTATTTATTGCTTGTTTCACATGCAAATCTTTCTTGATAATTCTGTTTTTTTTTTTTAATTCCTTAATAAATTTGTGTAATAAATAAATAAAATTGATCACCCAGCTACTGTCTTTGTTGAGCAGCAGTTGATGGTAAATCTAATGTTGCCCAAAGGTGTAATGATCTAATTAAATGATTCTTCACAGAATCAGTTAAAATGTAATCATAGGAAAGTAGATAATTTGATATTATTGTTAGGCGTATTGGTGATCATACATGCTTCGAATTTTGTTATCCGATTTATGTGCACTTCGGCCAAAACGATCAAATCAGAAACTGATTGAATAGCCATAACTTCCCTTTTCAATTGATTTCAATTGCATTCAGTCAAACTGAGTCGATGCAAGGGCAAAAAATGATCAATCCTTTGCATCAATCAGCAGCACAAAGATGATTCAGTCATAAAATCATTCATATTTTATTTGATTGGATTATGAGGTTGTTTTGTGGAAACAGAAATATTATGGATAACTTACCACAGTATCTAATAACTAATTCCCTACATGTTTTACATCAATTGATTGCATTATTGACTATCGATCAATTATTCCTATTGGAAAAAATGGTCAGAAAAGAAACTGATCACTTAACAAAGCATGCGTGGCCAACATATGGTGCATGGTCAGCAATACAATAAGTGTATCCTCCTATTATGTTCTAGTAAATCTGAAGGAGATTGTAAAGAAATTGTATAGTGTATGCCCGGCTTAAAGCTGAACTCTGGGATGAGCAAATATTATCTAAACACAAGAAGCATGTGTCATATTTACTGCAGATCTGAGCAGTATTCTAGTGTGAAACTTTGCCCGTGTGCCGAAGCTTCCTGCAATAAAGACCGGTCACTGCTGCTCTTTTTCCTTGTGCTTGTGACTGGTCTTGTCTCCTCCCCCCCCCCTGTAGTTTTCTGTAGGCATCCTGTAGTGGGTGTGGCCTACTGGGTCCCTCCTGCTGCTCTTCTTTTCAAACCGGGCTATAGGAAGGACCCAGCAACTCAATATAAGATGAGGCTGATGTAAGTGCTACTTAGTTAAAGCAGAACATCACCCAAAAGGGGAAGTCCTGCTTTAAATCCTCCTCCCCCTCCTCTATTACATTTGGCTTATCATTTTTTTTTATTTGAGGGGGGGAGTGAATATATAGTTTTGACAGGTACCTGCTTCACCTAAGCGATCTGAATAGAAATTCGGTACCTCCTCTCTTTGCCCGCAGCCTTCTGGGTCACATCACAGGTCCCAGAAGACAGTGAGACCATTCACAAAGCACAGCTCTCGCATGTGCAATAGGAAGCTGGCTCTGTAAAAGCAACAAGCAGTCTCATTCGACTTCCACACTAAAGATGCCGGCATCAGGGAAATCCGAAGACCTGTGAAGAATCTGTTCAGGTGAGAACATCTCTGGATCCCTGGACAGGTAAGTGTCCTTTTAATTAAAAAAGTCAGCTTCAGAACTTGTAGCTGCTGACTTTAATAATTTTTTTAAAGGCGGAAGATTTTTTTTTTTATCTTTATGCATTCCTCTATGCATGAAGGTAACAAATCTGTGGGCTGCTCCCCCCACAGCCCCCTAATACTTTAATCCTGAGCCCCCTCTCGATCCAGCAATGTGCATGGGAGCTTCAGGTCTCCCTCTTCTGAGACACAGTAGCTATTGGCTCCCACTGCTGTCATTCACAGCCAGTGACAAGAGAGGGATGGGGGTGGGGTAATGGCTGAGCCATGGCTCTATGTGTGTTTACGGATGCAAAAGAGTGAGGCTTGGGAATGAGCATGCACCATTGCCCCCATAACAAGCAGCTTGCCATGGCTCTATGTGTGTTACGGCATAGAAGCTGTATGGAGGGGAATGACATGAGGAGCACATGCACCATTTATTGCCCATGGAAGGACCCATCTTCAAATTTCTGACAGTGTTGCCATGTTCCCCTCCATACAGCGTTGTTAAAACAGCTGTATGCAGTGAATGTCCCAGAACTGTCATCATTCTGGGACAGTCCATACAGCATGGGAGGGACGAGCATGCACCATTGGCCCTGTCATAACAAGCAGCTTGCATTGCCCATGGCTCTATGTGTGTTACGGATACCGCTAGAGTGAGGCTTGGGAATGAGCATGCACCATTGCCCCCCATAACAAGCAGCTTGCTATCGGGGGCACTGAGCAAGGGAAGGAGCAAGGAGCACAGCGGGTGGTGGACCCGAGGAGAGAAGGATCAGGGCTGCTCTGTGCAAAAACACTGCACAGTACAGGTAAGTATATCATGTTTATTGCAAAAAAAACAAAAACAAATAAACCTTGCAATAACTGGATTTGCATAGGCACTTGGTATACTCAAAGTATTATTATTATTATTGTATCCAGGATTTATATAGCGCCAACAGTTCGTGCAGCGCTTTACAAGATATAAAGGGAGGCAGTACAGTTACAATACAAGAGGAAGTATATACAACTTCTTCGAGAGCAGTGGTTGAAACATCTGAATCCTTTAAACTAATAGAATACAATGTTTCAACCGCTAAAAAGAGGGCCCTTCTCATAAGAGCTTACAATCAAATAGAAGCTTCAAGTGGTACAAAGAGTTTATAACTGTGAGCTGAAAGACGTGATAAATGTCTAGTTGGGGGCATGATAGGCTTCCATGAAGAGATGAATTTTCAGGGATCGCCTAAAGGCAGACAGAGTAAGGGCTTGAGGTAGTGAGTTCCAGAGGATAGGAGAGGCTCTGGCGAAGTCCAATAGAGGAGCATAGGAGGAGGAAACAAGGGAGCGTGAGAGCAGGAGGTAGATTTATATCCAGAAAATCTATCAGCACCATGATCCTATATAAAATCATTCTGTGTATAGCCACCCTATAGGAGATTGTACAATCAAATTGTATAGTGTATGACCACCTTCAAGGGGAGAAATAGTCAGCCCCTCTAATGATACATCCCCCTATATACACATACTATCTGTCATATATGACTGTGATGATACCATAGGGTTAATGAAGGCTATGTAATCAGATGTCCCCTTACACATAGCAGGGGTTAATCATGCTATCAATGGCCAGCCAGGTCCCACATGTGTCCTCTGCAGGCTCTGCCGGCTGGGTGGTGCTGAAAGGACAGCGCCCGTCCACCGGATCCTGCCTGGCTGCGCATACTAAGAGCCAGTCCTTGACTGTGTCCATCTTCTATTGTTCCATACCTAGACTCCGCCACAGCCTCTGCATGCACCACACCACCCCTGCCATACATGATCCTTTGGCTTTACATGGAAGGGAATCATGCTGTCCATACTAGACAAGGGATGGTAGGCTCAGCTGTCAGCTCTGATCACACCCTCCAACACTGATTGACCATCTGATCGCCCATGTATAGGTGGCCAAATCCTGCAACTTGCAGCTCTTTTCCCTTCCCAATCTATCAGGCTGTTCTCATCACTTCCGGATCTCCTTGGCTTTCTGCTGCAGAACCCCTCCCGCCCACACTCCTCCTTCCTCCCCGCTCCTTAATTCTGCTAAGTTGAAGAGCAGGCTGTGCACTTGGCTATAGGGAGCATCCTAGCCCATTCTCCAGTGGAAGTCAGCGGAGGACTCAGCAATGTGGGAGCACTAGTCAGTCCTATTGTTCGCCTCCAAACCTGCAGTGCCTTCTCCTCCCACCTCATCATTGTCCTACCCTCTCAGCTTTATCCTTCAGAATCCAAAAAAAAACTGTTCCATCCTTCAAAGGGGGTTCAGGATGGCTGACAAGAGGCAACCTGGCCGGCAGAATGAGGGGGAGGAGGTCCCAGCCTTCTTCAAGAACATGGGATCTGGGAGTCCCAAGCCCAGGCAGAAATTCTGTGGGATGTTCTGTCCAGTAGAAGGCTCTTCTGAGAACAAGACCATCAATTTTGACTCTCTGTCAGCAGGAAAAGGCTCTGGGAAAATTATTAGCCAGCAGAAGGATGTCACCCGCTCTGATGGGAGGAAGATTGTGATCAAATGTTCTTCTGGCAAGGAAGCCCTTCAGTATCTCAATGACAAGGTGGGTGATGGGATGATGACTTCTATGAAGATGAAGAGGGGGAGGTGACTTCTTGAGGGGACCACCTAGGCAGCATGGGTAGGGTGGAGATGTATTTCATAGCTCCTTGCCACACATGTGTTCTATGTAAAATGGTGTCCTTTGTATCTTTCCTAAGTCCATTTGTTATATATAGTGATCAGAACTGTCAATCATCCTTCCATACAGCTAGACCCCCCTCTGAAGAATGACTGTTCTTATAACTGCATTGCCTTTCACGTCATACCACTTTTCACCTGTACTGGTACTGCTAGCCATATGGACCCCACCCTGTACAACCAAGATGACATGCAGTTTCGGTTGAAAAAAGCTGTGTATTTTATAAATCACAGAAAAGTATATTTTATGCAAAATATATTTTGATTAAAGTATAATGCTGTGAATATTTATAATTAATCAACAGCTGAAGTAAGAGAGAGCAATACAAATAATGACATATATAGGTAAGCTGATCTCATGTGCATTTTCTATGTTGCTTTTATTACTTTGCCTAAAGTTTAATTTTAGCCGACTCCATGGAGCCCCACTGTGGAGGATTGCCTTAAAACTTTTGGGCTTGTGGGATGGTCCTACGATATAAAAAATGGGAAAGTTTCTTCTTTTCCTTTTATTCTTCTCAGTGATACAGTGCAATCAATTCAGTATCTTTCCTTCTGTACTTTAAGAAAGTTTTAATGCAGAATTCCAGGCAAAATCTTTTTTTGTGCCATGCAGTGGGGCTGTGCCTAACTGCTCATTTTTGTAAAGGGATGATAACAGTGGATATATACACTATATTGTCAAAAGTATTGGGACGCCTGTCTTTACAAGCACATGAACTTTAATGACATCCCAGTCTTAGTCCATAGGGTTCAATATTGAGTTGGGCCACCCTTTGCAGCTGTAACAGCTTTAACTCTTCTGGGAAGGCTGTCCACAAGGTTTAGGAGTGTGTCTATGGGAATGTTTGACCAATCTTCCAGAAGCGCATTTGTGAGGTCTGGCACTGATGTCCTATGAGTCTCCACTCTAATTCATCCCAAAGGTGTTCTATCTGGTTGAGGTTAGGACTCTGTGCAGGCCAGTCAAGTTCCTCCATCCCAAACTCGCTCATCCATGTCTTTATGGACCTTGCTTTGTGCACTGGTGCGCAGTCATGTTGGAACAGGAAGAGACCAAACCATTACCACAAAGTTGGGAGCATGAGATTGTCCAAAATGTTTTGGTATGCTGACACCTACTGGAACTAAGGGCCCAAGGCCAACACCTGAAAAACAGCCCCACACCATAACCCCCCCTCCACCGAACTTTACACTTGGCACAATGCAGTCAGGCAAGTACTGTTCTCCTGGCAACCACCAAACCCAGACACGTCCATTGGATTGCCAGACATAAAAGTATGATTCGTCACACCAAAGACCATGTCTCCATTGCTCTAGAGTCCAGTGGCGACATGCTTTACACACTCATCCGAACACGTTGCATGGCACTCAGTGATGTAAGGCTTGGATGAAGCTGCTCGGTCATGGAAACCCATTCCATGAAGCTCTCTATGCACTGTTGTGCTAATCTGAAGGCCACACAAAGTTTGGAGGTCTTTAGCTACTGGCTCTACAGACAGTTGGCGACTTCTGTGCACTGTGAACTTCAGCATGCACCAGCCCCCCCCTGTCATTTTACTTCATGACTGAGTTGCTGTTGTTTCCAGCTGCTTCCACTTTGTTATAATACCACTAACAGTTGACCGTGGAATAGTTAGTATCAAGGAAATTTCACGGATGGACTTATTGCACAGGTGGCAACCTATCACGGTACCACGCTTGAATTCACTGAGCTCCTGAGAGCGACCCATTCTTTCACAAATGTTTGTAGAAGCAATCATGCCTAGGTGCTTGATTTTATACACATGGCCATGGAGGTGATTGGAACACCTAAATTTATTGATTTGGAGGGGTGTCCCAATACTTTTGGCAATATAGTGTACTTAATCCGCTTATCTTCCGAGTGCAAAACCGGTCCCTGTCGCTTCTGCCTCCTTGCAAGCTAGAGGTCTTGTGAAAGGACTGTTCCTGATGTCATCAAGCCCATACAGTGAGGAACAGAAGTATTTGAACACCCTGCGATTTTGCAAGTTTTCCCACTTAGAAATCATGGAGGTGTCTGAAATTCACATTGTAGGTGCATTCCCACTCTGAGAGACAAACTTTTTTAAAAAAATTCAGGAAATCATATTGTATGATTTTTAAAGAATGTATTTGTCTTGCACTGCTGAACATAAGTATTTGAACACCTAAGAAACAGCAAGAATTCTGGTTCTCAAAGACCTGTTACTGTGCCTTTTAAAAGTCCACCTCTACTCCACTCATTAATCTAACTTAGTAGCATCTGTCTGAGCTCTTTAAAGACACCTGTCCACCCCACAGTCAGTCAGACGCCAACTACTACCATGGGCAAGACCAAGGAGCTGTCAAAAGACACGAGAGACAAAATTGTGGACCTCCACAAGGCTGGAAAAGGCTACAGGGCAATTGCCAAGCAGCTTGGTGAAAATAGATCAACTGTTGGAGCAATTGTAGAAAATGGAAGAGGCTAAAGACGACTGTCAGTCTACCTCGGACTGGGGCTCCATGCAAGATCTCACCTTGTGGGGTATCACTGATGATAAGAAAGGTGAGGAATCAGCCCAAAACTACAAGGGAGGAGCTGGTCAATGACATGAAGAGAGCTGGGACCACAGTTTCAAAGGTCACTGTCGGTAGAACACTACGCCGTCATGGTTTCAAATCATGCATTGCACGGAAGGTTCCCCTGGTCAAGTCATCACATGTCCAGGCCCATCTGAAGTTTGCCAATGACCATCTGGATGATCCAGAGGAGGCATGGGAGAAAGTCACGTGGTCAGAGGAGACCAAAGTAGAACCTTTTGGTCTAAACTTCACTCATGTTTGGAGGAAAAAGAAGGATGAGTTGCATCCCAAGAACACCATCCCTACTGTGAAGCATGGGGGTGGTAACATCATGCTTTGGGGGTGCTTTTCTGCGAAGGGGACAGGATGACTACACTGTATTAAGGAGAGGATGAATGGGGCCATTTATTGTGAGATTTGAGCAACAACCTTCTTCCCTCAGTCAGAGCATTGAAGATGGGTCGTGGCTGGGTCTTCCAACATGACAACCACCCGAAGCACACAGTCAGGATAACCAAGGAGTGGCTCCGTAAGAAGCATATCAAGGTTCTGGAGTGGCCTAGCCAGTCTCCAGACCTAAATCCAATAGAACATCTTTGGAGGGAGCTGAAACTCCATGTTGCTCAGCGACAGCCCCGAAACCTGACAGTTCTAGAGGAGATCTGTGTGGAGGAGTGGGCCAGAATCCCTGTTGCAGTGTGTGCAAACCTGGTCAAGAACTACAGGAAACGTTTGACCTCTGTAACTGCAAACAAAGGCTTCTGTACCAAATATTAACACTGATTTTCTCAGGTTTTCAAATACTTATGTTCAGCAGTGCAAGACAAATAAATTCTTTAAAAATCATTTCCTGAATTTTTTTAAATTCTGTCTCTCAGAGTGGGAATGCACCTATAATGTGAATTTCAGACCCTCCATGATTTCTAAGTGGGAGAACTTGCAAAATCACAGGGTGTTCAAATACTTCTGTTCCTCACTGTATACCTGCTCCGGGAGTGAGGACAGCAGGAACAGTCCACCGCTGGATGTGGGAGAGCGCCATTTTTGGGAAAGACTGAATAAGTATAGCCTTTTGGGGGCCCCCTGGAGAAAAGGTGCAGTTAACCCATGCAGTACAGGCACAGCCCCACAGCATAGGACAAAAATTTTTTTACATGGAGTCCTGCTTTAAGCCTAGTACACATGATGAAAAGTCAGACGAAAAATACTTTTACAGCGATCGTCTAATAATCTGATCATTAGTACACAGCTTTCAAAAGCCGATCACGGCATTTCATGGAAAATTATCTGAAGATACAAGATTAAAATTTTTTCTTGTACGATACCAGAATGAACGATTTTCGTTTAATCAGTACAGTATTCGTCCAAAAAAAAAATCAAGCGACAAAGACCACGCATGCTTGGAAACGAAAGAATACATTACAACACAATACATTACATCACTTCAGAAATTTTTTATTCTGTCGTACAAGAATTTTCGTAATTTTATTAAACTTTTCATTTTCAATGAGACTAGCATGCAAAAAAAAAATGGATGATCATTCGTCCAATATTTTTACCATGTGTACAAGGCTTTAAATGCTGATTTTTAATTACCTGTAGCCATTCTTTATAATTAAAGTGGTTGTAAACCTGAGACATGAAATATGAACAAAGCATATCCCTCTATAGTGTGTACTTGTCTCATTTAAGAGCACTAAGTGTCACCTCTGTCTGCTGCTTTGTTTCCTTGCTATCTGCATGAGTCACTTCTGACAAGTTTTCTTGACACGAAGAGAAAAATGGTGATGGGGAGGGGACCTCCAGCAGGTTGACAGCCTCAGCTCTGTTCCTGTGTGCTGTGTGGAGGAGGGCGGGGGGTGTCCCCTTCCCTCCATCAGCTCTCAGAGCTCTCCTTAACTGAGCTCTGCGGAGTGTAACTTTAACTCTACCCCCTTGCTCCCTTTTTTTCTAAACTCTCAGAGAAGCTTTAGAAAGATTCAGCACTTTAAACACATGTAGAGAGAAGACTGCACATAGGTAAAACGTATGTAGGAGGATTTGTTTCATCTCTGCAGCACCTGAGGCCAGTCACTTCACTGGGGTATATATAATGGTTTACAAACACTTTAATTGACATCATCCTGTGCATGCAGCTGAAATCTGAAATTGGGCTCTTTTTTTTGCATTTTGCGCTTAAAACAGAACTTCACCCTAAGGGGAAATTCTGCTTTATGTCCTCCTCCCCCCACCACATTTGGCATATCATTTTTTCGGGGGGGAAGCGGTTACCTAGTTTTTCGCTTGGATCAACTAGGGCAATCCTAGTGGAAGTTTGGCCCCCTCTTTTTGCCCATCGCACAAAGTGCAGCTTGGCTCGTACATGCACAGTAGGATCAGCATTACATACAGTGGGGATCAAAAGTTTGGGCACCCCAGCTAAAAATGTGTATTAATGTACATAAAGAAGCCAAGGAAAGATGGAAAAATCTCCAAAAGGCATCAAATTACAGATTAGACATTCTTATAATATGTCAACAAAAGTTAGATTTTATTTCCATCATTTACACTTTCAAAATAACCGAAAACAAAAAGATGGTGTCTGCATAAGTTTGGGCACCCTGCAGAGTTAATATCTTGTACTGCCCCTTTGGCAAGTATCACAGCTTGTAAATGCTTTTTGTAGCCAGCCAAGAGTCTTTCAATTCTTGTTTGAGGTATCTTTGCCCATTCTTCCTTACAAAAGTCTTCCAGTTCTTTGAGATTTCTGGGCTGTCTGTCACGCACTGCTCTTTTAAGGTCTATCCATAGATTTTCAATTATGTTGAGGTCAGGAGATTGTGAAGGCCATGGCAAAAACCTTCAGTTTACGCCTCTCTTGATGTAATCCCCCGTGGATTTCGAGGTGTGTTTAGGATCATTATCCATTTTGTAGAAGCCATCCTCTCTTTAACTTCAGCTTTTTCACAGATGGCATCAAGTTACCATCCAAAATTTGCTGAAATTTTATTGAATCCATTTTTCCTTCTACTCGTGAGATGTTCCCTGTGCCACTGGCTGCAACACAACCCCAAAGCATGATTGATCCAACCCCATGCTTAACAGTTGGACAGAGGTTCTTTTCATTAAATTCTGTGCCCCTTCTTCTCCAAACGTACCTTTGCTCATTCCGGCCAAAAAGTTCAATGTTAACCTCATCAGTCCACAGAACTTGTTTCCAAAATGCATCAGGCTTGTCTATATGTTTCATTTGCAAAGTTCAAACGATGATTTTTGTGGGTGAGGACGTAGAAGAGGTTTTCTTCTGATGACTCTTCCATGAAGACCATATTTGTACAAGTATCTCTTTATAGTGGAATAGTGTACCACAACTCCAGTGTCTGCAGATCTTTCTGGAGGGATCGTGCAGTCAAACGTGGGTTTTGAATTGTTTTTCTCACAATCCTGCGAGCTGTTCTGTCTGATATTTTTCTTGGTCTTCCAGATCTTGCTTTAACTTCCACTGTTCCTGATGACTGCCATTTCTTAATTACATTCCAAACAGAGGATATTGACATCTGAAAATGCTTTGCTATCTTCTTATAGCCTTCTCCAGCTTTGTGAGCTGTCAACTATTTTCAGTTTCAGTTTTCTAGACAACTGCTTACAAGAAACCCATGGTGCTGGATTGTTGGGGGCAAAGGTCAGATGAGTCTGGGGACATTTAAAAAAACCTTTGAGATTGACATCACCTGGTCTTCCCAGATGATGATTGAGAACAATCCATGACACTGGCAGGTCTCAGCTTTGCAAAGGGGGCAGTGCATGCTATATAATTCTGCAGGGTGCCCCAAAACTTTTGCAGACGCCATTTTTTTGTTTTCTGTTATTTTGAAAGTGTAAATGATGGAAATAAAATCTAACTTTTGGTGACATATTTATGTAGAATGTCTAATCTGTAAATTTGATGCCTTTTGGAGATTTTTCCATCTTTCCTTGGGCTTCGTTATGCACATTAATACAATTTTTTAGCTGGGGGTGCAAACTTTCGATTCCCCACTCTAAGTTGTTCCTGTTTATCTGCAATCTTCTCTTGTGTCTACATCTGTTCAAAGTGCTGAGATTTATATAGCTTGTCTGACAGTTCAGAAAAAAATGATGCAGAAACCTGAAAGTTACACTCTGCAGAGCTCAGTGGGAACGGAGGTCTGACTGCAGATTGGAGCAAAGGGACATAGCCCCCTCCACACAGCTCACAGGAACAGAGCTGAGGCTTGTCACACTGCTGGAGGCCCATTTTTTTTCTCTTGGTGAAAGGAAAATTTGCCAGAAATGATA